GACTTTTCAGAGCCCCACTCTGCTCTAGGTGCTAGGGATGCAATACCCATGGAAATAATGCCACACTGCTCATAACATCATATTCTACAGTGGAGATGACTGAGACAGGAAAGAAAAAGATCCAATGAAAGGACATTCCCCATGTTGTAAGTGCCACATCCTGTCAGGTGTAGAGACAGATGACCTATATTAGAGCGCTCAGGTGACGTAACAGCTGAGGGTGTAAAGGGTACCTGTGTGGGGACCTATGGAGATCTGGGGGCAGTGCCTAGACCTCATGGTCAGGAGGAATGTCAGCAGACAGCCCCTGTGAACCACCGGGGAAGAGAGAGCAAAGACACCATTTCTCATACATAATTTTAATTTGGAACCTTTAAAAAATGGTGTGTGGTGGGCAGAGCAACTCATAGGAATAATTCAAAGAGTATTTTAGAAAAACGAGTTAAAAGCTGCTGATGAGGTTTAGAGTACCATGCAAGGCTGGCCTTAGAAATCAAAATGGAGCACTTGAGAACAGGATGAGGGACACTGTCCCATTTCTAGGGCAAAGCTTTTGGATACTGTACTGCAGTTGAAAGTAGCAGGGTTGGGTTTGCTTCCTTATGGGGATCTGCCTTTGACAATGGAGGAAGAGCTGGCTCATTAGGAAGGAAGGCAGCTGCTGACAAGGGGTGTTCTCCCTTCAGAGTTGTACAGTTAAAAGAAAAAAGGCTATTCAAAGTAAACTGTACTCAGACTAGATCTCTCCACAACACTCCATGCCCAGGCAAACCTGAGCTAGTAAAACAACTTGGAATGGGTCTCCCGCTCTACTTCAGTGTCTATACTGTGTCCAGCTGTGCAAAGAACCCGATGGAGAAGTTTGCCCTGGCTTTGACAGAAAGTCACATGTCATTTTAGTGTCCATGTGTTTGGGGCAAAAGCATTTAGAAATAATGTATAGAAGCACCTGAAGGTAAAACCTTCCAGGTCAGGCCCTCCACTAGATGCTCACCTCCAGATTAGTTCCTGCAGACAGGGCTGAAATAGCTCTGCAGAGGACACCAGCTGGAGTTCGAGCCTGCCTTGCTGACCACTCTGGTCCCTTCACTCTACAGAAGTTGAGTGGCCCGAGGGAGACCCAGTTCCATAACCATTTCAGGGCTTGAAATCCCAGGTATTCTGGGATCCTTTCTATATTTAAGGCCATCATACATTGAAGAATATGGAAAAGAGAGTATTTTTTAATCAGTTTTATTTTTTATATTGAATTTTAATGCTATGCTAAACAAAAAAAACCTGAGTACTCGATAATACTGAATTCTTTTCCCACTATTTTCTGAGAGGAGTGAACTGAGAAAGGTCTACACACAGCCCTTCACTGCATATGCTTTGTGTAGTGTCGTCCCACACTTAGACTGAATGAGCTATCCCAGGTCAGACACATGTTCATAGAAAGATCACTTGTACAGCCAGCCCCTGGAGGCCTTTGCCTATGAAGCTACTGGGAAACATAGGCCCAAGAGATGGTACATCTTTCTGTGAATGCCTGATAACAGGACCCTAGGGGATGCTTCCAAGCCTTCAGTGGGGAATGCCAAGGCGCCAACCTACCTGTCTCAGGAAGACAGGAATAACAAGGTGTCTACCAAGTCTGATGCCCCTTATGTCTGCTGGGTTCTCTATCTACGGGTTGAGATTTAACCAATGGCTTGATTTGAAAAACAAGTTAAAATGCTCCACAGGCCTAACTGTAAACCGGAATCTGTCACAATCAAACATCTCCGTAAGATCATCAGGGCTGTGTTGCTTCTGTAACTGTTTTCTTGAATCTGGAAACCCAGAGATCAAACTTCTGGGAAGATCAGCGGAGGCAATGCACTATAGACTGGCTCCTAGCAAAGCGTCTTTGCTCAGGCTTATTCCAGGGGCTGGGAAATCCCCTTACTTACTGCATGCAGAACTAAGAGTGTTCCCCCTGCCTGTTTTCTATAAACCAGGGGAAACAGAGGGCACTGCAAAGTTTGTAAGTGTTGGGTGCTATGGGATAAAGGCCCTCAGTACATCCACACAAAAGGTCTACAGGCACAAGCTCTTATTTCTGACAAACAAGGGGTAATATTTCCAGCCAAAGCTCTACTCGTATAAGAGGGGAAACTGAGAGATAGCATACACTGAATAGAGTGGCACATGCTATAGTCTCAGCTCTTTGGAGATGGAGGCAGGAAGACTGGGAGTTCAAGAGAAGCCTCAGTAACATAGTGAGCTTAAGGCCAGGGTCTCTTGCTTTAACAAAGCCAGAGACAGAGAAGGGGAGTGGAGAAGAGACTTAGGGACAGAGATGGGGGCAGGGAGGAAGAAGAAGGATTGGGAGAGAAGAAGGGGGGATTGACTGATTCATTGCAATGGGCTTGTTCTTACTTGTACGTAATCCCAGGACTTGAGAGGCAGATGTTAGAAGACAGTGGGACACTGGAACACTGTGGCTATGCCTCGCGCCTTATGAGAACAGAGGCCAGTACTGAGGATGAGCAAAAGCCACGGTGTCTATCTGATCCCAGGGAATGGAAGTGTCCTGAGCCAACCCCGGACTTGGCCCTGACATACACAGACCTGTTAGAGACTGAAACGGCCACAGCACATCAGAGGAAACCATGTTACCAAAGATTCCTCTAGCAAACCCCAAGAATGGCTTCTTCAAGTGAGGGCAAATTCCTTCAAGACAAGAAGGGAGACACAACACAGTTATGGCTTCATGGGCTGTCACAGATCTGAGCCCTAATCTGCCACTACTATTGGGTGACAATTCCGTGGTATAGTTTTTAAGGGCACAAATCAGCGTGGCTTCTCCATTTTAATTCTGAAAGAAATGTTAGGAATGTCTGGACTCTTTTGTGGTAATAATTATACGTTGGCTCCAAAGACCAATTGTGACACATACAGCTGGTGATAATGTACAGGAGCTCCTGTCACAGGATGCGAGCCCTCAGAAGGGCCACCCTTAGAAGAATTTCAAAGTCCAGGCTCAGAAGGGGCTCAGAAGGGACCAGTGTCTCGGTCAAGATGATTAAGGTCATGACCACACAGTGCATTTGAAAGTTGACTCTGATTAATTTCTATACGAGTATTTCTAGGCCTCTTTGTAACAGATAATGCTTCATTTTCTACCAGGAAAATAAAGGCTCAAACCAAAAAACTGGAAATTTTTCCTCAGGCAAGCTTTCTGACTCAACTTTCAACAGAAACCCATTATCATATCATTATTACAGGAATCCACTTTTTGACTTACACACTCACTTTGACTATACTTGGGATTTGAGAAGAAGCCAGATTTCAAACATGGAATTCATGTAGTTGACATTTAGAAAGTTCGAGACAAAACAAGCCACTGCCACGCCCCGGTTAAGGCTAGCTACAGCAGAGGTTGTGTTCACTGTAACCTGACTATATCCCAACCACAGGAAGGTTTAAACTAAGAATAAAAATAAATTCTGTTTTTTACTCCTGTTTTGTCTCTGGGCATCTGGCAAACTCTGCAGTAAGATTTTAGTAGGAAGAATAAAGACACAGGTTCTAGCCTGCCCGTCACTAACATTTACTCTTTTAAAATTTTTATTTTACATTTTCGGTTTGTTTACTTATGGGTGTGTCTGCATATTAAGATGCATACGTGGAGGTCAGAGGGCAACCTGTGGGAGTCAGTTATCTCTTTGATTACGTGGACTCCTGGGCAGAATTCAGGCCTTCATCTAAGCCCCTGTCTCATCAGCACCGCTCTGAACTCGAGGGTCTCATGCATCCCAGGCTGGTCTCAAAGTTGATGTTTAATAGAGGGTGACCTTAAGCTGGTGTTCTATTTTTGTCTATACCTTAATGGTGGGGTTACAGAAGTGCTGAGGACTGCACTGGGGGCCTCATGCACACTAAGTGAGCCCTCTGCCGACAGAGCCACACCCCAAGCCTGCACTTCGTTGTTTTACAAAACAGGCTATAAAAGATATGCCAACTTAGCCTTTACTCACGCTATGTTCCAATAGACCTTGTCAACACCTGAATGGTGTCTGTTTAGAAGGTTTTACCTAAGTGCTTTTGTGAATAACTTGTCTTTAACAATTTTTAAGATTTTTAAGGTTGTCCGTCTGAGGTTAGGAGCTGTGGAACTGTTTGGGAAAGATGAGGAGGTGTGTCCTTGTTGAAGGGGGTGTGTCACTAGGGTTGGGCTTTGAGGTTTCAAAAGCCCATGCCAGGTCCAGTCTCTTTTTCTCTCTCTGCCTCATGCTGTGCCTCAGGAAGCTCCAGTACCATGCCTGCCTGCTTGACCCACGGCCTAGGCCTCGTCATGGACATGGACTCTAGCATTCTGGAAATGTGGCCCAGATCACATTCTTCCTTTTGGTAAGTTGCCTTGGTCATGGTGTTTTGTCACAGCAGTAGAAACGTAACTAAGGTAGCCATACATGGTTTCCCCTTCTAGCTAGATGTATTTAAAGGCCTGTTCCTTAACTATGTTTAGCGTTTCTAAAACACTTAAGTATATACTCAATCAAAACCCATCTAGTATAACCCTGAGCCGAACTGGGGCTTAGTTTGGTGGTGAGAGTAGGGGCTTTGGAGTCAGACAGACATTCCATCTCAGTTTAGTGACTGTGGCGTCGTGTTGTTAGTGGGACAAGGATATCTCTTAGAAAGGTACCAAATGAAATAATGTGATAATAATGTATAAATACTGTAAAAATGGCGGCAAAGGCCACTTTTATGGAAAGCACCTCGAAGAGTTTGCTGATGAGAATGTTAAGAAGCTGCCTTCAGAAGAGAATACTTGCTACTAACGGTAACTGATTGCCACTTGGCTGCTGGTGTGACTTATGAAGGATGGGGTGGTGTAAATGGAGGAATGTCAGATTTCACTAGGAACTCCTGGGTATGCAGGTTTGTGGGTGCCCTGTGATAGGGGCAGGAGGTAGGGGGGAATATGTGCAAGTGCAGCCCCTGTGTGCCGGAGACGCGCAGGTGTCACTCACGCGGGGGTGACGCCCTTGGGCAGCCCCAGGGCGTTGACAGCGACAGGAGGTGGCTGAGAGGGCAGCAGGGCGCTGAGGAAGGCTGCGGGCGTCTGGCCGGGGCCGAATCGGGCGGGCGAGGCGCACTGCGAGGTGGAGCTGGGCAGCGGTGGCGGCGGCGGTGGCAGCGGGAACACGTCCGGCACCTGGTAGGCCGTGGAGGGGCTGAAGACCGGCGGTGGCGGCGGTGGAGGCGAGGGCGAGGACGGGCCCCACATGGCCTCGGGTTCCACGAAGGGCGGCCCGGGAGCGCGGCCGAACGGCCTGGGTGTTGGGGACAGCGGCGACGGCAGGCTGGAGGAGCTGGGGCTGGAGGTGGGCGTGGGCAGCCCCGACGCGGGACCCAGGTTCTGCGCCGCGATGAACTGCTTGGGGCGCGCGTAGTTGAAGGAGCCGGAGGACTGCATGGTGGTGGCGCGGGAGGCCACCGCGCTCATGGGCTCGGAGGGCACCGGCGACACGCAGGCCGCGAGCTCGGGGAAGGCTGGTGGCGGTGGGGGGAAGGGCGGCGACGGGGGTGCGCTGCTGCCGCTGCTGCTGCTGTTGCAAGGGACAGCCGGGGGCGCTGGGGGCCAGGCGCACGCCTCCTGCTCCAGGCGCACTTGGTTCTGCAGCTGCTGAAGCTTTAGAGGATCCCTGGGGACACAGAAAGAGAGAAAAGCGACAACTTCAGAGAAGGGGGACATCCCAAGACCCGAGATATAGTACAAGTCATCAAAGAGAAAGGGCTTGGCTGGTTCACTCTGGACAAAGCAAGGAATGGTAATGACAACAGTTCGCTTCAACTCTATGGAAAGGGGCTGCGAGCCCTGCTCTTGATGAGGACCAGGTCAGGTTCCAAGGGCTCCCAATGCCTGCAACCAGTTCCATGGGATCAGCCGCCCTCTTCTGGTCTCCGAGGGCACTGCACTCACCGGCACACACCCCGACCCCAACCGGAGGGAAAAAAAAAAAGAAATTGAATTCTGTGTAAGATGAGCCAGACCAGCTTGCTGATTATGATGAAGCTGTTGTCTGATTTCCAACAGCCATGTTGTAACAGAACCAGAAGAAGCATTAGGGAAAAAAATTGGAGATGAGTTCCCAAGCCATTTGTAGACAATTTTGGGGGAGGAAAAAAATTTCATCAGAACAAGAAAACTAAAATTAAAAAGAAAAGCCACTTCAAGTTATTTTTTTTATAGATCTCAGTTAATCTGCTGTGCCTGCTTCAGTGCTGTCACTTGTAATATGACAAGCTGAGTTTTTTTCTCCCTTAAAACTGCATGCAAAGGAGTGGCGTCTTTATGATGGGCAGAAAGCTGAGGCCATGAAAGAAGATTCGAGGGCATCCTCTGCTACAGAGCAAGAACCTGTCTCAAAAAGCGAAACATACTGGGCGTGGTAGCTCGTATCTGTAATCCCATAAGCTGGAAAGATCAAGTGTTCAAAGTTATCCTTAGCTATAGTAAGATTTATTTTCATGGACGTATGGGTGGTTTTGCCTGCACACATACCTGTGCACCTCCTCTGTGCTAACCCATCTCTTCAGCTGTATTTTTCTTTTATGTATATGAGTACACTGCAGCTGTCTTCAGATACACCAGAAGAGGGCATCAGATCCCATTACAGATGGTAGTTTGCCACCATGTGGTTGCTGGGAATTGAACTCAGGACCTCTGTAAGAGCAGTCAGTGCTCTTAACCACTGAACCATCCATCTCTCCAGCCCCCTGTATTTTGGTTTTCTAAAAATACAAGGCACCAAGGAGCTAGAACCCCATCCTTTTACTCAAGTTTTCTTATTTAGATTACTTGTGCATCTACTTTGTTCCATTTAGTCAGGTCAGCAAAGCAGCAGATGTCTGGCCAAAAGAAGCTGGCTCTGAACAAGCAGATCAATGGTACAGTTCCATGAGAAGGCACTTTTGCACTCAGTTTTAAACATTGAAAAAAAAATGGGGCGAGGTGGGAGTAGGTGCCTCACGGATAAACACTGTGCTGCACCAACTATGGGCATTAGTGTTCCGATCCCTGAAAACCTTGCTGAAGCTGGGCACACCTGTGATCACAGCATTCAAAAGGCGGGGTCAGGGGGGTGCCCAAGGCAAGACAGCAAACTAGCCTGAAGAAATGACAAGCTCTGGACTCAGCAGAAGACCTTGCCCCAATATTTAAGGTGGAGAGCAAGAGGACACCAGACATCAATCCCCAGCCTACACATGCACACATACATTCTGCACACATATACACACCAGATCTTGCAACACACACACACACACACACACACACACACACACACACACATTAAAGAAAATGCCAAAGGGTTTTCAGCTTATTTGTTTTTATCCTCAGGCATTTAATCTTTAAAGTGAAGGTTCAATAAACTCAAAGCAAGAGCAAGAGTAAAAGGTGTCAGCAAAGAAGCTGAAGGTTTGTCACCAGGTGCCATTAGATGTAGGGACATCACAAATTCTAACCTCCTTCCTGAGGCTTGGATAATTAGCCACACTTTCATCCATGGAAAAGGCAAAGAAGTATTTCTCTAGAATCGAAAGCAACAAAGAGAGAAAGAGAGGAGGGCTTTCGATTCCTAATCTGTGAAAGGCATCAAAGATTTTTAATAACAAAGGACTTCGTGGGATCCTACGGAACTTAATTTGAGTATTTTAAGAAGCAGCCCAACCGCTGGCTGAGACTCGCCACTCCCATGGAATTCCAGATGTCTGCGTGGTTTGGTAGACTGTCTGGCACATGAGCTCAGGACCAGACCAGGAATAGAACTTGTAAAAGCCACCCACCAGCTCCAGAAAGCCACTACCCAGGACTCTTGTTCCCATTTCCTCAAAGCCCAGCTTCTGCCTCTCATAGCTCCTCAGGCTTCCGAGCTATGGAATACTGTCCCACACTCTTCGGGTGACATTGCACCTGGTGGTTTTCATTAAAGGCACTGTTCCCCGACTCTATGCTTCACAATGGCAAAAGAATCGAAGATGTGTCTGAAGATAATTTAAGTGTGGCCTGCATCAGCAAAAAATTGGGTGGCGCTGGTGCTGTCCAAGACCACAGGCCTTCTGTCAAGGACAAGGGGATGGCTTCCTAGAACAGCCTACACTGCTTTTGACTCTCTTCATAAGACCAATCTTGCTCAAGGAAGGACTGGATACTTTCTTTCTGCTTCCTGTGAACATTAAAGAGACCAGCTGCCTCAAGCCCCCCCCCCCCCCGTCATTAATTTTCTGTCACAACAGGCTATTTGAAAAAAAAAATGTTTTTAAAGAGGAAAAATTACAACACTTGCTGACTCAAAATGGCCTGAGAGCTGCCAAGGCACCCCTCAGAATAATACAGTGACTTGGCTACTATTGTGTATCAGGATAGATGCGAAGAACTTTTCCAGGATTGTTATTCTCCCCTTTTCAGTGCTTCAGCCTGGGGTTAAGAGCATAAGGGGCAGGAAACAGGGGCAGGATCAGGAAGGTGGGACACTGACAATAAATCCTCAAGTGTCTGCCTTGATTCCTGCTCCAGCATTGGTTTTGCTTAAACCCTTAAATGGATTTGACCCCAGAATTCTGTGATAACAAAACATACAATTTTAAATCACTCTCTCCATTTTTACCAGGTGACCTTTATGGAAGTTGGTTTTTAACAGATACAAGAAGGCAAAGAGAAGCAGAGATACCAGAAAGGTAAATCTGCCCTCTGGAAAAAAACCACCTCGTCTGGTTCCCCGCTTCTTTATCCTGTTGTATCCTGTTTGTTAGCTTTCCTCCTAAGATGAAGCTACAACAAACCTTTTTGGAAATCCTGCTCATGCATGAAAACCTGGGCTACAAGCTTCTCAAAAGCCTTAGTCACAACCAGGATTTCAATGCCATAGTGCTCAAATCTTTGGTTATACACAGCGAGCCAGCAGATTCTCCCTAACTTCTTTTTTCTCCTCTCCTCGCCACACCCCCAATTCAAAAACTCTAAGAACTTCCCCACTGTAAACACACCCTAGGGTTCTCAAAAGTTCAATACTTCAGGAAATAAAACCACCCAGAGTTTCTGTTAAACATCTGTCATGGTCCATTTACAAATGGGAGAGGTTGAGCAAGCCACTCCAGGTTAGAGTGAGTTCAGAATCTGAGTCTGTCCTTTGATTCATTCATGACACCCAGCAAGCCAGCACAGAAGAACCTTGACCTTTGATGTAATTAAATATATATAAGTATATGTATATGTATATGTATATGTATATGTATATGTATATGTATATGTATATATATGGGGCATGTTTCCCTTCCAGTGCCTTTCTTCACTTTATGATATCAGGATCATTGGATTTTGATAGTTGATGTGGTTTTGACATGAGAGGCTGGCTCACAAAATCTTGCCCTAGGTCTTTTCTCTCCCAGTACTTGGTAAGAAAGAGATTTGCAAAAAGATATGCAACACTTACTACATAGCGTTCTGTTTTCTGGAGACTTGATGCCCATGCTCAGGATAAGTGATAAGAAAAAGAAACTTCTGGAAGAGAACTTTTATGTAAAATGGGAAAATCCCAGCATGTCTCCTGGGAACAGTGTCTGGGTAGTGAGAAGCTGTCCCCTGTTTACATGGATAAAGATGGAGTGTTCATAATCACCAGGGGAAACCCTCCTGACCACAGGGGTGGAAACCATGTGTGATTTAAGAAAAAATATGCTTCTTATACATTTTCTTTCACTTTTGACTGCGTGACCCAGAGGTCACTGCAAGACAAAGACGCGGTGAGCGTCACTCATAGAGCCACAAGGTCCTCTGTTCCTGCTGTTTGTAAGCACCATGAATGGAAGGAGTATGGTGTCCATCCTCCCAGGACATCCAGCCAAGGACTGCAGCGGACAGCTCTATCACCATCACGGATGACAATGGACATTTTTGACTATTGCTCTTCTGAGTTCATGAGGCACAAGGAGGAGGGTTTCGGACTGGAGTGGAGAGTTTTTGCCAATTTTACAGTTTCCCCCTAAGATGGAAATTAGATCAGGATTGTTATATATCTATATCTATATCAGCTTGGTTTGCTTAGCACTGCCTATCATTGCTGAGTGTAAAAGGTATAAAAATCACAATCTCGAGAAAGTTCATTTACACAATTAACATGTAAATCACAAATACAACCACATATATGTATGAAAATTCAATAATGAAATCCATCAGTTTGTACGTTAACTTAAAAATTAATTTCAAAAAGAACAACAAAAAAAAAGCCAGATGAGATCGTATTACTTGGCCTTGAGGGGGCTATGAATTTGAAAATAATTATGAATTCAAATACATTCCCCTAAGAATGGGAGACAGAGGAGGGATAAAGATGTGGGCTTTGTACAACATACCACATAAGAGAATGGTAAAATCAAGTTAAAAGTGATCTCTTCTTGAAAATGAGTATGTGTGTGTTTAATATGTATTGCCAAATAACATACTCAGAGGCTACAATGTCCTATTCTTTGATCTTCAATTCATTCTGAGATTTTTGTAAATTTTGTTGACTCTAGCCAGAGCCAGAGCTGAGTACAATTAATTTACACAGGATGGTTCAAGGGAGAAGCATCTTAGCCAAGCCCAGCACTCGGCTTGAGTTACTTTCAGAGAGTTCGGTCTCCCTCACTTAGAATAAGAAGCACG